ATGATCCTCCTACTATAGCTTCCCAAGTTCTGGGTTTACAGGTCTGTGCAATGACACTTGGCTCTAGGATTTTTTCTTTTTTTCTTTCTTTTTTAATAGTAGCCAAATTTTATTAAAGGTAAGAAAAGAGACTCTAACATGAAAGTTGAGCCAAGTAAAAATAGGAAGAGACGAAAATAGGAAGACAGCAGCCACCAAGCAGAGAAAGCATGGCAATATGAAGTTATCTTTTAAAAGAGCCACTCAAAAGAGCCACCGTGTGAGTTTAGTAATGCGTGACTATGATCTCGGTACTTGGGAGACTGAGACAAGGAGGACTACAAGTCTGAGGCTACTGAGCTAAATAGCATGTACCTTAAATGTAGATTTCCCTTATCCGACTAGAGGATAGCCATATTTATAGCTCTCCTTTTAACTAAAACTGTATTCTAGAATTAAAAGTTAGTTGAAGGATAAACTTGAACCACAACAGCAAGCAGAAACACTGAAATGACACCCAGGATTTGGAGGCAGATTTATTTACATTGTAGGCACTGATCAGGATCATTCCCAGAATATCAAGCCCTAATCTCTGGTGCTATAGGGCTATATGGAATAAGCAAGAAGTACAGAGCCAGAATGGCTTGTCATTTGGGGATTGACTCTTACTATATACATCTTAGTGTCCAGCTATGTAACGGAAATTGGTACAGGAACTGTTACTTGGCCAACTAAAAACTGAAGTAAACTGGCTTGGGGTGGGGCAGGGAGCAATCACTTTCATACCTGACAATTAATGCTGTTGTCTGAAGGCAGTTACATAAAGGCTGCCACATTGCAAATACTCAGTACATGGGGAGCAAATGGAGGGGAGCCTTAAGAGTGTTATTGCAGATACCGGGAGAACATGGTAGACAGATAACAGCAACTACGGAGGCTCTCTGAAAGACTTGGCTCAGAAGTCAGGAATGGTGCGGACTAAGGAGACATAAACAGGTGGAGATATGCTCTGCTGACTCAGGAACAAATTGGGCTGAGAGAAACCAACTTGGAATGCAGTCCTGGTGCTAAAACAGGAACAGAAAAGCCTCGGTGTGGAGGCTGGACCCCGCGCCATTGGAAGCCGCGATTTGGGTTTCCCGCTGGCTGCGCGGCGACTGCTCTACAGCGGCTCGGCAAGGAGAGAAACGCGCGGAAGCTCTGAGAACGGGAGTCTGTGAACGGAGTCGAAAACCGGACGGGCAGGGAGGCGTGCACTGACTTGTGGTGAGGTGAGTGAGAGAAACTGACACTCTACCACAGTTTGACTCCAGCGGAGGACTTTCTGGGCCCGGGCAGTCCTGCGGGAGCAGGGCATGGTGGCGACTACAGCCACACATCCCCCTCTCGGGTGGGATTGGTGAAAAGTGCCTGGCCTGCGTGACGCTGCTAGCGGACCCGGTAGTCTGGCCCAACCCAGATCCTAGAGCCTGATGGTGGCCGGGAGGGGCGACCCCCGCGTAGGCTGCCTGGTCCGTAACTCCCTGGTGCATTTCGGTGGGCAGGAACACCTAACCAGCACAATTCGATCAGGCTGTGGCTGACAGGGAGAGAAGCTGGGTCTCCTATATAAGCTTGCATATATAAGGAACAGAGAATATGGGAAGAGGCAGCAACAAGAAAGGCTCCTCGGCCCCCAATTCTGAGAAACAGGCAATAGCGGACACTGCACCAATAGACATAAAGCGCCATATAGAGAGCCTCATAGACCAATTCAGGAATGAAGTTATCAACGACCTGAAGCTAGAAGTATGCAGAATAGTTAGAGAAATGCTAAGCACCACCCAAGAAAAAACAGATGGTGGAATGGAAGAACAGAAAAAGAGGGGAGAATTGTTTGATGGAGAAAACAGAGAAAGCATAGAATACGTGAAGCAGGTTCAAAGGGACTACCAAGAAACTAAGAAGTCTATCAAAGACTGGCATAACAGCTTGAAAGAAACTAAGGACAGACTATCTGAACTGGAGGGCAGACTTGTAATATGGGAGAATGAAATGAAAAACTTCTTAAAAATAACAAAGAAACAAACAGCAATAATACAAAGACAAGAAGATGATAAGAGGATCCATAACTTAAGGATTAAGAACATAAAAGAAGAAGTAGGGACACAAACAAGTGAACTACAAAAGCTACTCACAGAAATAATCCAGGAGAATTTTCCTAATTTAGTAAAAGGTAAAGATACTCAGATGTATGAGGCATACAGGACCCCAGCTACCTACAACCCAAACAGAGCAACACCCAGGCATATAATAATAAAAACTCCAGAAATTCAATACAAGAACAGAATATTAAAAGCTGTCAGAGACAAGAAACAGACCACTTACAAGGGAACACCCATCAGAATTACAGCAGATTTCTCTGCACAAACCATCAAATCACGAAGAGTGTGGGGGGAAATAATTCAAGCTTTGAAAGATAATAATCTCCAGCCAAGATTGAGATATCCTGCACAACTGTCCCTGGAAATTGATGGAAAAACAAGGTGCTTCCAGGATAAAGAGGAACTGGGGGAATTTGCAACCACCAATTCAACTCTACAGAGAGTATTGCAGGATATTCTAAAAAAAGAAAAATACAAAGAATCCAGAAATAGTGGCAGGAGGCCACAATGAATGGAGCAGAGAACAAAATGAAGAAGACAAACTGATAGCTACTGACAGAAAAAGAGCTCAACAGAAATGAGGCAGAGAAGATTGGATGATAGGAACAGCTATTTTGGAGAAAATGACATCTTAATAGGTAATACTGATTTAGTATCATCTTGTTTTGAAGTCTCATCTAGCTTTTGTTCTTCTGTCTCCAATGGTCTAAATAGGTTGTATCTTATTGGATTTTATTATGTACGATAGTATAAGCAAAAACCTTTTAAAGACGAGATTATACAGAAACCATTGTTCATTTTCTGTTAGTCGATTCTAAATACTCTGTAATGCTGTCATTCTCTTAAATGGTTTTACATTGTTTTGATATACTTAATGCTACAGTATACGAAGTTGTACTCAAGGATTTCAAGGAAAGAGACAATATGGTAACTACTTTTGGGTCGGGATTATCTGGTGGTGAAACACTATTCTGCTTAAATGGTTATGTTTTGATCTGCGCTGTTTCGCTGTTATGCCCTCTTTTATATCAGTCTTCACTCCATTATTTACTTTTTTATTTTTATCCGTTTAATTAAAGGAAAAAAAATAGCAGGATATATTTTAGTAACCCACTTTGACTTTCCATTATCTTGATTTGAAGCCCTGTATTACTCTCACCATCTTGTTTTTGACTGATGTTCCCCTATACTGTTGTGCTGGATAGTATCAGGTTCGAAAGTTTAGGCATCAGCTGTGAAGATAATGAGATTCATTATAACGCCCATTCTCATTGACTTTTATCTACTTTTGAAGACCTACAATGTCTCCAATGTTATGGTTTTGTCGGTTTTGTTCTTTACTGTTTTGTTCAATTGTATTATAACTAATGATATAGGCAATTCTATTAGAGATAGCGGGAGGCATTATGGTAACCATTGTTGATCACCTTGTATTATGTTTTTACATTATCTATTATGTCCTCCCTTTTGACTTGACCGATTCTGTTCTGTTATGTCACATTTGGTTTTATTCTCTTCCAAAAAAGTAATAAGAACCGTGGGAGCAATGAAACCCAAAATGTGTAATAGTCATTGTACAAAAGAGAGGAAAAGAAAGTGCTCTAAACTATATAACTGCATGTATATTTAAGTGTATAGGATAGAAAATGATATCACAGAGTTTTATTGGATCATTGAACAGAACTGTTTGCAGTAGCATTGTTGGAATGTCCACTTTACAAGCTTTAATTTTGTGACTTGAACAATTATTTCTAAGATGACAATATATAATCCATTAACTAGTGATTTCCTACTGTTCATTTTTTTTCTGTAAATCTGTATAACTTGTATCCTTTCTCTGCTTTTTTTTTCTTTTCTCCTTAAATAAAATTTAAAAAAAAAAAGTGTTATTGCAGTGAGCCAGAATGGGAAGACTTCCTGCAGTTAGACCTGTTGTACTCCCATCAGCCTGGTTGTAATGTAGATCTTTATTTTGCCAAGAGCTTTATTTGGCAAGAGACCCAGTATCCCTAGAAAACACTGTTTCTTCAATCCCAGATGTTTGTGTAACAGTGACCCTGACATAATGTTAGATTACCTATATTTCAACCTCTCCTTTCTGTTAATGTGTCAACTCAGCCCCAGGAAGGAAGTGACTTGCCCAAGATAAATGTTCTTTGTCTAGTTAGTGATATGGCAGGGACTAGAACACAGGTCTCTGTTGTGTAATCATCTTTCTGCTTTATTTCCAAAATGGCAGCCATCTTCACCCCTGTCCTGAGAATAAAACAAGACAGTTTTTCTGAACTGGTTCAAGGTGTTAAGAATTAATAAGGATTTTAGAATCAATGTTTGATTTATGGTGTTTGTAGGAAATTTGATGAGTTAAGCATTTATACAAATAGATTATTTAGAAAGCCAAGACTTAATAGTTAAGTACATAACCAAACAAGTGAAAAAGTGTAAACAGCTAGTCAACAGTAGAGGAATAGTTTATAGGAAAAAATACTATATAATAATTTTGATCTGACACTTGTGATGACCTAGAAAAATACAGCCATTATAGAGGAGTATCTTTTATATTTCCTTCTTCCATACCATGTCTAATATTTAAGCCTTTGCAATAGGTTCAGTTCCTTTAAAGGATTAATTTTATGTATAGGTTATTAACAATATTGATTTGTGAAACTCATTAGCTAACTAATTTCTTTCTTGGCCAATGTATCATCAAAGTGGGTGTTTTTTAATACTTAACCTGTGTTACTAATTAGCTGACATGAGAGTATCAAGATTTAGAAACACTGACAGAAATGTTTATTTGATAAAACTATCTGAACATAAAGGGGAAGAAAGCTTTTCTAAAAGAAATTCTCTCAATTATGTATTTGTGTCCTACAGGGCATCTGTTCTGCACCTACAGCAATATTGGATGCTTGAGCAGAAAGAGCACCCTCTGGAAATCCCAAGAGAACTCCCATGAGCTTCCAAAGGATTGTGAATGATGAAAAGAACAAAGCTAGCTACATGAAACCAAGTCTCTTTCCTTCATCCTTTCTTATCAAAGCACCATCTCGAAAACCTTTTGGGGTCCTTTCTCCAAATGTTCTGTACAGTATGAGTGGGAAGAGTCCTGTAGAGAACAGCTGGAATGTTAAAGCCAAAAAGTATGTTCCAGCTGCAACAATCCACCAGGGTGAAGGAGAAAGTCCACTTGACATCTGGACTGTTGTGAAACCTGGAAATACCAAGGAGAAAATTGCATTCTTTGCAGCAAACCAGTGTAACAATAGGATAGGAGTTATGAAAATAAAAAGCACCTGGGATATCGATGGGAGAGCTATTAAAAGAAGAAAAAAATCAGGGGATCTTAAAAAAGCCAAGATACAGTTAGAAAATATGAGGGAAGTCAACAGCAGGTGCTACCAGCCTGAGCCATTTGTTTGTGGTATTGAGCACTGTTCTGTGCATTATGTGAATGACAGTGGGGAAGGAGTCTACGCTGGGAGGCATCTGTCAGTTATACAGATGGTTGCCTTCCTTGAGCAAAGAGCCAGCGCTCTGTTAGCTAGCTGTGCGAAAAACTGCACCAACTCACCTGCCATTGGGAGGTTTTCTGGTCAGTCCAGAGGCATGCTCCCAGCCCCTGAGCCCTTCTCTGACCCAGGAGCTTGTGAAGAACCCCTAGAAAGGGGAAATCCTGAGGTTGGAGAATCACAGAGTGAGCCAGTTCGTGTCCTTGACATGGTAGCCAGGCTGGAGTCTGAGTGCCTGAAGAGGCAGAGCCAGCGTGAGTCTGGGAGCCTGTCACGAAATAACAGCTTCCGGAGAAATGTGGGCAGGGTGTTGCTTGCAAATGGTAGTCAGGCTGATGAAAACAAAACAAAAAAAGATGTACTGGAGGCACCTGACACACAGATGAATTCCACACGGTCTGTCTCTGTGGACCATGGCCCTGTAAGAGTTGACCATTGTTCTTCTACAGGGAACTGGGCCTGGGACAGTGCTCCTCAGGATTGTGCCTCACTTCAAGCCAGAGTGACTTTCTGCATAAGCAGTGTAGAATTACAGCTAGGTCAGAAAACTGCCATGAAAGGCAGCAATAGGCATGACGTGGAAGTAACAGATGAACTACCTTTTTCTTCTCACACCTGTCCCCGACCCACTGAATTGCCCACAGATGCTATTGTTTGTATGAGTGCAGAGCTTGTGCCACTCACTAGTCAAAAGCCTGGTGAGAGAAAAGTTGAATCTTCATGCATTAGCATCACTGTGACCAAGGCAGAGGAAGGCCGGCAGTCTTCTTGCTTAAGCTCCCACGAAGATCCACTTCCAGGAATGTTGTTCTTTCTGCCCCCTGGTGAGCATCAGTCGGATGGCTACCTGTTGAATGACAGCACAGCTCCAGAGTACTCAGAGGGTAGCCAGCTTGAAGGCACTGCTGAGGAGAGTGGTGCTGAAGAGAGACGTGCTTCTACCAAGTCACATATACTAGCAGCCTCTGCAGTGGAACGCACGTTGCCGGCACTTCAAGCATCCACCTGGAAGAAGCAGGTGTCTCATGACTTTTTGGAGACCAGGTTTAAAATCCAACAGCTTCTGGAACCTCAGCAGTACATGGCATGTCTACCCCACCACATTATGGTGAAAATTTTCAGGTTACTTCCCACCAGGAGTTTAGTGGCTCTTAAATGTACCTGCTGCTATTTCAAGTTTATCATTGAATACTACAACATTAGGCCAGCAGATTCACGTTGGGTTCGAGACCCACGCTATAGAGAGGATCCGTGCAAGCAGTGCAAGAAAAAATATGTGAAAGGGGATGTGTCCCTGTGCCGCTGGCACCCCAAGCCCTATTGCCAAGCACTGCCCTATGGGCCTGGATACTGGATGTGCTGTCACCGGTCTCAGAAGGGTTTTCCTGGCTGTAAGCTGGGGCTTCATGATAATCACTGGGTCCCTGCCTGCCACAGCTTCAACCGGGCAGTGCATAAGAAAGCAAGAGGGAGTGAAGCAGAAGAGGAATACTAAAGGTCAGGTGAGAGACAATAAGCAAGACTGAGTTAAAACCACAGGACACCTAGGCAAAGTGTTGCCTCTCAGTGTTCATGGAGCACCTGCACCTATTCCATCAGTACTGCCATTGTTCATTTATTTTTAAATTCTTAATTTAACAGCTCTGCCAGGCAACTGGTCTTGTGATTTTATAGGGAGCCCTCACACTTGATCCAGGGTGTAATTATGCTTGCTTTTCTGTCTGTCCTTGAAGGATACAGACTTGGCACCATCAGGGACATTCAGAGGAGTTTACTGCAGGCTCTGCTGCCAGTCCCCAGGCAGCGCTTACATGAATGTTTTTAGCACTGGCACTATTTTTGAAATGAGTAAATAGTTCCCTGTAAGAACAGCAAGGCCCCTGGATGAAAAGTATGCCTAAAAGCAAAAGTCAAGCACCTTACCTTAAACCTCATATGCTTGATCCCATGAGATTGGCATTTGTGGGTGGAGATGGACTTCATGCCCTGTGGTGTTTACAGTGTACATAATGGTTGTGTCTTCATAGGGCTGTGAAAGTACACATTAAACCTGAGCGCCTTTACTTTTAATAAGTGCTTTGCCCCTCTGTATATAACACTCTTAAAATCCAGTTGTATATGATAGAAAACGTAAAACAAACAATATAGACATCACAATGCAGCTAGAGTAGTGTTGCAGCTATAATTGTGTTTGTCTCAGAATTTGTACATCTTGTGTAAAATATGAATGTTTCCAAATAAACTATGAATGTTTTCTGTATAATATATGAATGTTTCTGAGAAGAAACTAAATAGGTAAGGGGTTAACCTGTTTAAAAGGTACCAAATAACAACCTAACTGGACGACCTTAAAGTTAGCCTACAGAATCCTTATATTTTAGTGATCCATCAAGAATAAGAGAATATTACATAGTTAGATTATAATGTCTTGTCTACTTTATCCTTTCTGTCTGGTTACATTTTTGTTTTCAAACTTCAATAAAAACATCTTGATTGCACCTGAGTTTTGAAAGATTTTTTCTTTGGTTTAATGTTTGTAAATTGAATTGTGAAGAGATTTCGAGTTCTCAGGGAAGGAAAATGATACAGTGTTTTTTCTAACATAGGACATTATACTCGGTCATCTTTCAATGATACCTGGATTTCTCTTCACTGCCGACTGTATTTACTCTTGACTGAGGTGGTATCTTTTCCTTACAAGTTGTCCAGGCATATCATTCTGTGGTCACTAAAGATCTCTTCACAGCTGGGGTCTTGTCATGGTTGGTGGGGGAAGTTGTCCTGAACCCAAATGGCTTGAAACCAAGTACCCATTAAGAAACCTTGCCAGCAGTGTGGGCTGCAGGGTGTCAGATCAGGTAATAGATGTTCTAGTGGGAAAGAGAGTGGGTTGGAATGGTCCTAAAGGAGAAGGATTTAAGGTTGGCAGGAGTGCCAAATGGCAAGGTACGATCAGATGGAGATGGAGTCTCAGTTGTAGCTGAGGCAAGAGGGAGTGCAGAATGACTTCTAGACTGGAATCTATTTTGACTTTTCTTCCTTTATCCCTAGCACTAACTCCTCCTTGCCTCAAAAGATGCACAAACTGGGTAGAGTAGCATGTACCTACAATCCCAGTTGTTTGGGAGGCTGAGGCAGGAGGATAACAAGTTTAGGCTAGCCTGGACAAGTTAGTGAATTCCTGCCTCAAAAGGAAGTTTGGAGGCCTGTAGCTTGTAACAGTGCTTGCTTAGCACATGCAAGGCCCTGGGTTTGTTCCCAACACTGCAAAAGGGAGGACACTAAAGCTGAGAACAGTATCTGTCTTGAGCCCCAGTAAGTGTTCCCCAGAGAGACGCACTATGCTCAGCTAGCCTGCTGGTGTGTGGAATTTATAGCAAGACCAGACAAGGGCTGACAACAGCTTGCTTTGCATTCAAGAGCTGTGGTTTCCCTTGTGACCCTAGGTGAAGTGTATAGAAAATGTTCCTGTATTTGAGTAGTCAGTGCTGGTCTTACTCCACTTTGGTTTGCTCTGATTTGATAATCTGGTGCCTAGTGTTTTGTGACCCATATCATTTGGGATTTAAAGATCTTACACAAAGGGCTTAGAGCTCAAGTGGCCTGTGGAATGTGCCTAGCAAATGTCAGCTGTCAGTGTGGCTGTAACTCCATGTATGCCATGCATGCACAGGTTAACAACTCTGTTTCCACAGGTCAGCCGTCCCTGATATGTGTGCGTGTGCATGTGGCTGCACTGACCAAGGGCAGGGCGTATAATGCCTCACTTCTCAGCATGCAGTACTTGCAGCCCTCAGAAATTGCTGATGTCCTGTTTTGAATTGTGGCAAAACTTGGTTCCCAGTGCTGTCTGCATGCATGACAGTTTTCAGTAGTTGACATTAAAAAAACAACTCACTGGTCCCCAGTTGTGTTGTCAGAGAGTCTCACTATATATATAGTTAAGGCTGGTCTCAAACTCCTGCCTAGCCTCCTGAATACTGAGGTTACAGGAGATGTACAACCATACCTGGCTGCTGGTCTTTATTTCTAGGCAAGTGTAACTGACCCTCTACTTCTTTTGGGGCCCACTACTGCCAAGCTCATGAAAACAACCTTATTTCCTGCCATCACAGATTTAAGAACAGGGAACAATGGTGTCCAAAGATCCTGGTCTCTATCTACTCATACCCTTTCAGCATTGGCTCAGAGACTGACAGACATTACTGTCTTCTCCCTTCACTTGATCATTTGAAAGAAAAGCCAGATGTGTGGAAACCAGGAATCGGTTCCCATTCACATAACTGCCCAAAAGATGAGACCAAAGACAAGCCAGATGTGGCAGCATACAGCTGTAATTCCAGCACTCAGACGGCAGAGACGGGAGGATGGCCGTTAAGTTCCAGGGCAACCTGAGGACCTGCCTCAAAAAACACAAAAGACTGAGGACAAAGAGAGTGTCCTGAAAAGGGACTGCGAGCTGAGTTAGAATTAATGACTGTAGGATGCCCCTGTGGAAACTCAGCGCCCATTCTCTGATAACTCTTCCAGCAGCCCCTGTGCAGGCACTTGCCACCGCCCTTTTGCATCACTTTGTGTACAGCTCTCCCCACTGTACCCTCCACTCAGGACAGCCACTAGTTCTGCCACCCTCAGGGCCTCACTTGGCACGTGCCCTAGAATGCTGTCACCCTTACGAGTGCCTATGTTCATGTGAAGGGTGCTGGCAAAATCCATCTGGACTGCCCCATCTATGTCATAACGCAGGATGAGAAGCCTGTCATTGGGACAGACTTTCAGCTGGCAGTTGCCCATCCCATCACCTGCCCAGCATCCTCAGATACCTGCTACAAACTGCACTTTAGAGGAGGCTGCTAAGTTGCCATCAAGTTTCCCCAATGATCCTCAGAATACCCTTTTCGTTTCTGCAAAAGGCACAAGTCTCTGATGTGGCTCTTGTTACTGTCTTGCCATCTTTGGGAAAAAATCTGCCCCACTGATAGTAGTATGTGACCCTAAGCAGATTGTGAATCGTTTTCCTAGGGTAATTTCCCACCAGGCTCCTGGGATGGGGAACTCCTTGAGTTTCACCGACTGGATGGCAGATGGCTTGCACAACTGCCCAATTTCCCGACACTGTCATGAAACAACTTTAAAATGACCCCAACCACTGAAGGAGATACCTGTTCTTCTCACCATGGCTTTAGTTGGATCCCTGCAAATGAAGAAGCTCCCTCTGTACACTAGATAGAAGCATATGTGTAACTTCGAGACTGAAGCTACACCCTGTCTGGGATTACCTTTTCCATGTCCCTCACGCCACTTGCTGGCTGTCTACAGGTAAAGGGATAGTGAGAGGACAACTGCCATTCATTATTTCTTGTTGGCCTGGCTGCTCCATGGCTGTCATTTACCGCTTGCACATCAACCTCAAATGTACTGATGATCCATCTAGGAGAGATTCATTACCCCAACACTGCTCAGTCCTCGGTTTTCTCTCTCTCACTTAAAAAAGTTTGGGCAGATTCCATTAGAACAGCAGACACCCAGGACTCTGCTACCATCCTGTGGCTCCCAAAGAGAAATTATCTCTGGAAAAAGTTTGTAAGGGAAGCAACCCGTTTCTTAGTTGCCAAAGACAGGTGATTACTAGTAACATCAGCATAATTTAAAACATAGATTAACAGGCTTTCTTTTCCTACCTGGCAAAGAATTCTATTAAAATGTGTAATTTACATGAAGGACTAGCTGGCTCTCATTCTTGCTGCTCATTTTAGCAGCAGAAATATCAGTTTATAAAAACTATTAGCAAAGCACTGTTAAAAGATTTATTGCAGTAATATAATAAAAGTTAGAAAACATTTGTATGACTCAAACTACTTTGGAAGTCACAAAGGGTAATTCCTACAACAGGAGGAGCACTGCACTCTCTGTAATAGTACAGACACTGAGTACACTTCCCAAGTCACGCCCAAGCCGTTACGTAAGTTCTGCGCCATGCCCTATCTGACATACTGTTTGCTTAACTTACAGGTGTGCAAAGCTTTTGTTATATTCCAGTACAAAAATGTCTGTGATAAAACTAAAGCAGCCTATTTAGTGACTATGGGTTTTTATTCATAATACCTTGTTTCAATAATTTTAAAATGCAAAACATGACAAGTTCTATGGCTTTTCATTTAAAAAAAAACCTGCTTAAACTTTTTAAACAGCGGTTTACATATTGTTGTGGCACCTAAATAAGAGATTTTTAATAAGCAGCAAAGAATAGAAAAAACAGTGGTTGAAATGTGTTACTTAAAAATATAGAATAGATCCAGTGCAAAATAATGAAACCAAAAATATTTCAGCAGTGTAAGTCAGTATGTTGTTCAAACCCATTAAAGGGTTGAACCGCTTAGCTCAATATAAAGTGCCTCTAGTTGATATTAACAATAAAATATACCCTTATCAGTCCCTAAATCTCCCACAACCTTGTTTTGTTGAATTATTCTAGATATGAGTTGGGGATGTCTATTCTTTAGCTTTGCTTTAAGTTTATTTGGTATTTGTTAACTTCATCATTTCCACTTCATGGAGTTCAGAACTCAGTGGTCAAATGCAAACCCAACCATCACCAAGCTGAGCACTCTGAAAAGCTGGGCACTTTTTGAAAATATAGACAGACTGTAAAGCACCCCAGTGGGGAACACCTGCCTTCTCCCTTAGCAGAAAATTCAGAGCCAGGGAATCTGGAACTCCTGGACAGGAATAAACTCCCTCCTCCCAACTCTACCCAAAACTTGACCAAACACCAAATACGCCAACAGCAAAGACTACGACATAGCACCTCGAGTTTGGAGGCAAAGTCCCACCTGTAATAATTACAATGAGAAAAGCAGCTAGGTAGGACATGGCAAACCTCTGAATGATTGATATCTGAGGTACTACATGCTAACCACACTAAGATACACTATTAATGCCTGTTAAGAATTTTTCATAGGATTGCTTTTTGTAATACATAGGGTTTTTGCAGTTATTAAAAATAAAAAATACATATTTGTACATAATGCCTCTTGCTATAGTTTTAAGATTGTCAACTAAAAAAATGGCAAGCTTTCCTGCTGAGGGGAAATTCTTTACTTGTGAGCCTTTTCGTGAACAGAGCATCCTGACCAAGGTCAGTCTCCATAGCAAAAGGACCTCAGGAGGCACAAAGCAGGACTGCCTTCTGAGAACACCTCCATCTACTGAATCCCTTAGGAAATGGGACATTTTTGAAATAACCAGAGGTTGCCTGTCTGGGCAAGCATTTGGCTTACTCAGGGAATGACCTTTATGACTTTTTTTTTTTTTTTTGGAGACAGGATCTCACTATGCAGTTTAGGCCGCCCTTGAACTCACTAGACTGGCTGTGAACTTACAGCAACCCTGACTCAGCTTCCCGAGTGATGGGATCACAGGCTTGTGCCATTACGCCTGGCTTCTATGACTTATTTTCACAAATAAAAAATAAATTACATTCAAAATGGACATAGTGTGAATGGTAGGAATTCAAAAACTAGGTAAGAAGGAACTTGGTACTCCACAGAATACAAGAAAACATCTCTGGGACATTACTGCATCTAGAGTTTCTTCCATTCATGGGTATGCGTCCTACAGAAAAACAAACCTTAGCTTCTTTGGTGTGTGTAGGGGCCAAGGAGAAACCGAGGAACATGATGGGTTACAACAGAGCGAGTTTTAAATTACTCTTTCCCCTCAAAAAACTAGCCTCTCCCAAATATGACTCAAGTCCTTATTCTAAAAACCAAAGAAATGAAATTTTTCAAATTGCTGGTTTTCTGCCAAAAAAAAAAAGTTACTGTCTTCCAAGTCACCAAGAATCACTTCCTTGTGATTCGTCCAACCCCTAGAACTTAAGTTTCAGCATCAAAGACAACACTGACAGGGGCCCTCCAGTGCTCAGGGGCTGTCTCCTTGACAGATATGGCCTCTCACAGCCCCTTCTGCCAGTGTTGGTATAGGCAGAAGCCCCATGATACCCTCTGCTCTAATACCCTAAGCACATGGGTCAAAATCACAGCCACTCAACAGGCAAAACTGCTTGTCTCCCTGCTGCAAATAACAATCCTTTTTGTTCCAAGTGCTATCTTAACAGACAAGGTTTACTAGGGACAGCTCTCGGGATAAGGGATAAGATCTAGTATGTTCTGGCCCGTGCCCATTAGCGGTGTCCAGTATAAGCTTTGAACCAGGAGGTCACAGAGGCTGCAGCAGAGGAAATCATTCCCCCTGCACTGCTGCTTGCAACGGGGGGAGACGCCTGGGAGCTCCGGCTCTGGGAGACTTCCACAGCCTGGGAGGGGATGTCACAAAACCGGGGGCTTGGCAGGTTCTCCCAGTCTGTGCCCAAGTCAGTTTCCTCATCACTTATGTGCTCATCTCCACTCTCATCGGATTCTCCAGCAACTCCAGGGTCTACAAATTCCATGGACTCTTCAAGGTCTGCTCGTACTTCAAAGGGTCCGGACCTGTGTGCAGAAAGTGAGGAGTCACAGAGAAGCACTGTCCCCCAGCCTGAGATCAGATGCTGTCTTTCCTAAGATGCTATCTCCTGGGGTAGAAGAACCCACAGCCATTCCCATCCCTTTTCCAAAGTCTCCACTGCACTCCCTGTTGATCTAGAGTTGAGGTTTTCTTTACCCAAGTAACAACTGCCACCCAAATTAGGAATAAAATAGTAATATCACACTTTTCTGATACACTTCTGACAGAAACAGCTATTTGATGTATACTATATTTCATTCAGGGTCAAATTGGTCCTGGTGCAACTGCCCACCGTGGACAGTCACGGCTGAAGATAGACGCACACCTCTATGTAACAAGTAAATGGTATGCAAAGAAAACTACACAGATGTTTCCTGTTTTTTGGAACCTCCCTCCCTCATAAAAAAAAATTCCTCAGGCTCAAAAATCAGAGATGATGTGGCTGTATGTAAGTCAGATAGGCTTCTTAGATTACTATTAACAAGCTCTGGCACTCACTTGAAAATACCTGTGTCTAATCTTCCAGGAATACACTTGTTGGACAGAATGACACAACTACTTAGGATATATTTACTTGTTACAGTGCATTTTTTTTATACTGTATTTCAGGAAAAACTATTTTTTATTCCCAAAAGGGCCCAAATGATACAATCATGGCCAAGTCTAAGAGCCCTTTCTTGGGCTCCTCAGCACCCTTCTGCAGGCAAAGCCAACACAGGCCTTTCTGCTACCCCCCCAGACAGACACTTTTTTTTTTTTTTTTTTTTGCTGCCTTTCGAATGCCTGTCAGCTTCAGGGGACAAGGCAGCCACCCTCATCTACGGCCCCTCCAGCAACTTCCCTGGAGCTACTTAAAAGGGTGGGTCCAGATCCCTTCAGCAGCCTGTATTTCTACTAGTGCTCCCAAATAAGCATGTGAGGCCTAAGCTAAATTCAGTTTCACTGATCATTACTTGGAATTAAAGAACACTTGAACATGAAAAAACACCCTTGCCATATTTTCAACCTCAGTCCCTAGCTCCTGGTACCCCTGGAACAGTAAAAGGCTGGTAATGGCACCTGATCCCTGCCTCCAGGGTCAAATAGGCCTCATTCTCCCAAGACAACTGTTTCCCAGCTGGGACACAGCAACCAGAGCTAACATGAATGTTCTAAGCATGGTGGTCAGGGCTTTACAGATATTAAACTCCAGGGTTTGGTCCTTGACTTCAATGAGCAATTCAACTACACAAGGTATTTTTCAGGATAAGGTGCTAGGAGGGGGACTGCTTCAACCTTTGAAACTTTCCAGGCCAAACAGACTAATGAGCATTGCAGCTGGTACCTTAACTTCACAGATTTCATTTACAATTCCTTAAGGTTCCCCTAACACTTCACTCCTTTTCTGCCTTTTTTTCCTTGGCAAGCAGGTCTACTCCAAAATAATCTTTTCCAATTTCTCTCCTCCTTGATCCATTCCTGCTCACCTAATCTCTAAGACTGAGAGTTACTACCTCAGACTCATCTCAGATAACCAATCTAGCTGGGACTTTTCCATCCTCCACAGGCTCCATATCAGTGGGCACAAGCTCCTGTCCACCCTCACTGGGCTCCCTCTGTCTCTAGCTTAGGCTGTCCACCCTCACTGGGCTCCCTCTATCCCTAGCTTAAGGCTGCTGAGTCTGTGCCACTCAGCGTCACCACAATGCTCAGTGCCAGGCTAAAGCTCCCAGCTGGAGGCTCAGTCCATCTGTTCCTCATTGGTATGGCTTCTGTATTCCTGGGTTCTCACAGCACATGTTTGTCACTTTCCCCAGCACCTTCTTCACGGCCTTCCCAGGACACAAGTAGAAATGACACAGGGAGAAACATCCTTTTCTTTCATCAGGTAGAGTTCCTTCAGAGTGCCTCCTTCAAGCCTGGTTCTTGGCTTGCAGCCCATAGATAGGGTAGATTCCACTTTGCATGGATCAGGCACTCAACTGAGTGCTCAGAATGAAAAAAGAGTAAGTGGAAGATTCCTAAAGAAGCCAAGCAGACTGATTTTGGTTCCAAGTAGCCACAGGAGCAGGGAGTCCTTTTAGAAGCTCTGAGATGGTTCTCCACCCAATGTTTTCCCACCAGCACTTGAAGATTAGAGCTGTACACTAACCAAGTACCAAGAGGACTAGTTCTTTCCCCTAATGACCTGGAGAAGAGAGATGATAAAAATCATTTCTCTAATCTGTAGTTTAGTTGAATAAATGACTTCTTTTAAGTCAAGGTCCTGAAGCCAGAATACTCATTTTCTCATGGAGTTAAGTGTATCAATTATTGGGGGAAAAAAAAAAAAAAAAACTTTTTAGCTTTCTAAAAAATTCTTTTGCAAAACATCTCATTTGAAAATGATGATGCGTTAATATAGATAACATCCTGCTTAACACTAGGTCAGATGAGAACCACAGGAGACCTGATCCTACGGGGATACTGTGACAGAGGTACCTGCATGGTTGAAGTTCTCCCCCCTTTGAGGCTTGTTACTCACAAAGGAGAAAAAACACAGAAACCACACAGCAGGGAACTGGGAAGCACCTTGACTAGGGATCTAGATCTCCAGCAAGGGAAACTCAGATTTGTGCCTCATGACATGGGTGCAGCAGGAGACCACACTCAGGTAGCACTCTTGCTGGAATGCACAGCCAGACTCTGCTTGGAGGAAGCACAGAAAACCATAAAGGAAAGGTCTGCTGGGGAGGGGGATTTATGCTTTTTTAAAAAAATGTTAACACTGCAAAGACAGGAGGCCGTGAAAATGTACCAGATTTAAAAGGGGTCGTGTGTGTGTGTGTGTGTGTGTGTGTGTGTGTGTGTGTGTGTGTAATACCTAACTCTAGATTAGATCCTTCACTAGAGAGGAAAAGCATTATTATGTAGGAAAGTCTGGACCACTGACAAATGTGCACACAGACAGCAAGTGAGAGTACTACATCCACTTGCTGAGGGCCATCACTGTAATACAGGCATAAAATATCTTAGGAAATGCACAGGTTTTAACCTTTTGTCTGCTATACATGTTGAAGAACCTATTTAACTTCATTAAAGGTAAACTTTAACTAGAAAACACTTAGGTGTTTGTGATCCTTCTGCTTTAGGTTCCCAGAGTGCTGGGGTCACAGGTGTACAGGTTTTTTGTTTTGTGTTTTCTGGTTTCTTTTTTGTCTTTTTGAGACAGGGTCTCTCTATGCAGTTCAGGCTGGCCTTGAGCTCACATTGTAACCTAGGCTGGTCTCGAACTCACAACAATCCTCCTGCCTCGGCCTCCCAAGTGCTGGGACAAGCCAGCACGCCCAGCTCAGATATGCAGTTTTTATACTGTAAAATTCGTAATTCCTCTTTCTTACAGTTTTGGGTTTGTGGCTTACTTGGGAATTCTTTCCCCACCCAATGATGATAGAACACTCTCCCTTAAAAGGTTTTCTTTTTATCATATCTGGAATTTAATCTGTATATGAATTGTAGTATATATCCAACATTTTCCCCACTTGAATACCAACTGGCCCACCTAACACCATAGCCGACTCAATATGCCACCCTGTGATATACACTGTACAGATCTACTTCAAAAGTCCTTATTCTTGTCATTGCTCTAGATTTTTGCATGTTAACAGCACCTTGTTTTAATCAACTTTATGTCTTGAAAGGGCAAGCCCAACCCTCATTATTCATTTCCAAAATTTCCCTGGAGACTATGCTGAACTTTAGAATCTGATTGTCAAAGCTCCATGAAATCCTGCTGAGTTCTTATCAATGTTCCTTCTGGGGAGACATTACATTTTGGTAATTTTGAGCTTTCTAACCTATAAAGTCATAAGCAATTTAATTGTCGCAGACCTTCTTTCACTTAGTCCCACTCCCCTTACAGGGCACAGCAGGCATTCTAAGATACATGTTCAATAAAAAATTTCATCATTTTCTGTAAAGACACTCCTCAGCTTACACTCCAATAAACCATCAACTGAAAATATTTTGAGTCAAAAGCACAATCAATACATCCAACTCACTGAACGTTACCGCTTGGCCTACTAAAAATGTTCTCAGAACACTCACACTAGCCTACAGTGATACAAACATTTGAGACAGCTGTTTCTGAACTCCTATTTCAAAGCGTGATGCCATTAGCCATACTCATCTCTGCAGACACATGCACAAGCTCAGGGCAAGCACAAAAGGGGACTGACATGGCACCCAAGAGGAGCCCCATCTATCTCAGACTTTTATGGGTTGAGATTAAGGAGATCTGCAGACCAGACTCACTTCTGTTTTTTTATTTATTTATTTATTTTTTGGTCTTTTTTGTTTTTATTGGTACCGGGGATCAAACTCACGACCGCACACTTGCAAGGAAGGCGCTTATGCCGCTGAGCTAAATCCCCAGCCCCCAGACTCACTTCTGTTTTTAAGATAATGGGTTTTAAACCAGTTCACTGTATAATCTTCTAATATCTTCATATCCAAAAAAAAAAAGGGCTAGACTGGCTCAATGATAAAAAGAAATTTGCTAAGAATTATTATGCTATAAGTGTCTACCAGGCAAGCATGTGGTCACAAGTTCGATCCCCGGTACCAAAAACAAAAAAAAGAATTATTGTGCTAGGCAAGGGACATACAGGTTCAAAAGAAAACATGCGAGAGGCAGGGGGAAACTGGCAGGTCAGAGAAAAGTCACAGGAGCGCACACACACCCCCGTCCTACCTGCCCAAGTGTTCCGAGCCTGAGCTGACCAGGTGCATGAGATTCCTGAGGGTGTGCAGTGGTTGTAACTGATCCAAATTTACATGCTAGAAAGAGCAAAGAATTCATTAATATTTTCAGCTATGTAACAAATCAGAAATGGTTCAAAACACATTTTCCATACCTGAGAAAAACAAAGGTAAAGGATATTTGTGTTCAGCTTCTTCACTGCTCGAGTAAACTTCTGTTTGCTGAGATTTTCTCCACAAAACTCACTGTAAAACAAATAGAAGTTTGGAAAATGGTATTTTCTTCAGAAAATTCTCTCTTAAAAAGTTCATCTGAAGAGTTATGCCTTGCACTACAGTTCATACATAGTCTCCCTTGTGTCTCTGTCTCCCTAACAAACTGCCCATCACAGACACTTTCTAAGAAATTGCCATCCTCATTGAGAATAATTTCATTGTACCTATCCAAGTACTCACCAAGCCATTACATTTCGGGAATTTACACTGCACAAATTTTTAAGCATAAAAGAAATGACAGTGGAAACATTGTTTCTGAAAGCATGTAAGTAGACCAGTCAGGTCCTGGTGCAACTGCCCACTGTGGACAGTCCACGGCTGAAGATAGACGCACACCTCTATTGCCTGCTCTATGGCTCTGTTCTGTGCTGACCCTCCCAGGGCCTTGGCCCTATCAGACTCTCTGCCTACAGCGTCTCTTCTCAGGGTCCTCGTAGCTTACCCCTCCCTCCTTCAGGTTCACGCATGCCCACACCTGTACCCACTCACAGGCAGCAAGACTTTCCCTGCAGCCAGGAGTCCTCACCCATCCTGGTGCTCTATGGCACCTGCCACTATGTGACAGACACACTGAGTGTTGTCTGTGTCCCTCACAGATGCATACACACGGGGCAGGGGTTATGCTTTTGTTGTCAGTGTATCCCATACTGGGACAGTGGCTGGCACAAAAAGCGAAGTGCAAAACACTTCAGGACACTATTTACATTTGTGTGTACTGCAGGCAGGTGATAAGGGAGTCATCTGCTTGATGTGCACAGAGGCTGAAAGGAAGGTCTTAGCAGGAACTGATAGATCTTTAACCACTTACCTGCCCAATTATTTAAACAGAAGATAACTAAAAATTTTATTTTTGTTCATTTTTATTATATAATAGGAAATATAAAAATGACAATTTTATCAAATTGATTCAATAATTTTTCTGTGCACAGTACTTGTTTTGTCTTGGTTTTCTAGGATAGTGTCTGGCCTTGAACTCACTAAGTAGCAGGCTAGCTTTGAACTCAGGTGATCCTTCTGCCTCTGCCTCCAAAGTGCTGGCATTACAGATGTGCATCACCATACCCATGTAACTTAAACATTCAATACATGTAACCAGTCCCCAAGATGACTATAAACTGAATAAATTGCAAGCATATACTAATAAAAATTTTTAAAAGGAAAAAAATTAATACAGAATGCAACATTATAATCTGGACAGTCATACTCTCTGAATTCTTTCTGCATCACTGTCTTCCTTTGAATAACATACTTTACACTGTCATGTTGGGGTTTCTTTTTTCCGGGGGTGGTATAATTTCGATAAAATGTCTATGCAACTGAATGTACTGGTGATGATGTCGATGATAAACATCTTGGTTGGCATTTCACTATCCCATATTTTTCAATTAGTTGATCTGTGAGACCTACTCTAAATTATAAATGATTTTCTTAACCACCTTGTTTTGAATAAATAATAAATAAATTTCATACTATTTAGTTCAGAAGGTACATAGATACTATATAATACTTTTTCCTTGCTTTTTGATTACAGGATAGCTTGTCAGATGTTGGTCAACCATGTCAACACCATCCACAAAATTATTGTAACCACTGAATTTTTTTAGTTTTGTTTCTTCTTTGAAGTTCCATCATTTCCGAATTATGAACTGTTTACAATAAGGAGACATCTGTATGTCTTTCCACTGCATAACACAGGCTTTTCTTCTCTGATATGCTAATATGTCACTTTTTCAGTGTTTTCTACTGTGGATCTACCTTTCTATTCAGTCTCACTGTCCCAGATATGTCCATTTTGAATTGTAAAAGAACATCACTGAGTTAGGAAAAGTATAAAGATTGTATCTAACATACTTAGGATAAGAGTTTTAACAGACTGCAGCACAAAATCATAGGTTATTTTTCACAAATGAAATACCAATTGGTAAAATAACCAGAATTTAGATTTCACTAGAAACAAACATCAACCGTAAAAACAATGTTCTAAATGAACAAATATGAAAAAAATAACTGACAAAAACAAATAGATGTATAAGTGTATCTCATGCAAACAAGAACTGACTGGTTGAAATGATGCCTGCCTAAGCGATGCTCAGGATAGTCAGTCTGCAAGCAAATGTGCTGTCCAAGTGATGCCCAAGGTAAACTATTAAGCAGTTTAAAAAATTTCTTCTCAGTACTAATACTGAAAAAATAAATAAATAAATAAAACAAACATCAGGGGCTTGGGATTTAGCTCAGTGGCATAAGTGCCTGCTCTGCAAGACCATGGTCGTGAGTTCGATCCCCGGTACCAATTAAAAAAAAAAAGAGTACTAATGCTGAACCCAAGCAGTATTAACCGCCATCCCTGCCCCTTTTATTCTGATAAAGGATTTCTCTAAATTACCTACAAACTTTACCTCAAACTTGCCATCCTCTTGCCTCAGCTATCTCAGGAGCCACCACACTTGGCTAACGTTTTTGGTTTTTTTTGGTTCCAGGAATCAAACTCAGGACCTTGCACTTGTCAAGAAGGTGCTCTGCCACTGAGCTATATCCCTGACCCTCTGTCTACATTTTTTTGAATCAAAGTCATTTCGGGTTTCTCTTTTAAAAAAATGTACCCCAACTGTTAAAATTCACCCAGTTCCTACATTTACAGCATTTCCTCTGAATTATAAAATTTTCCCTTTAATTAGTTTTTCAAGTGGAGGATTCTTTGTGGTCGTTTAGACTTCACAAGCAATTATAAAGTAATGAAACAAATCTGCATGTATCTTTTTAAGTCTGAATATGTCCATTAGACATTTCTTGCTTGCTAATACTTAAAATTCTTGTTTTTGACTAAATTGCAATTAAGAGCTCACCAAAGTTGGCAGACCCACAGTACAGAAGACATTGCCACCTTCAGTTACTTGCCTGTTGCACAGCTTTTTAGGAAGATTGACATCGAGTATGTGAGACAAAATGTTGACCAGCTGAGTGGCATAGCACAGCGCAGCGCTGATGGTGTAAGCAGGGTTATTATGCTCCATGTCTGAAGGATAAGAAAACAGTCACATAGCACCTTTTTAACCTCAAGAAAGTATTAATGAGCCAAGGTTTTATGATTTGTATCTTTATTGTAATGTTACTGATGGTTAAGCTCTATTTCCCACTCTATGGCCAGACATAAGTATCTACTCATTTTGTTTTCGCTTTTTTGATGAGCCTAAAATCTGGCTAAGCAGGAATGAAGCTGAAGTCTGAATCACTTGGACCAGAAAATGTAATATCAGAACAATAAACGCAAATACCAACTTAAATATCACCTCCTGAGAGTTCTTTCTGGACTATCCAACAGAAATGATGTCCCTGCCTCTGCACCGTGCCCTTCCCTGGGACACCACTGGCTCTCACAACCCCTGCTGCACTCCAGGGCCTCTGACTGTTTCATCATTACTCATCCAAGAAGGACAAAGGGCCACATCTATTGTGGTCACCTTGTATCACCAGCACCCAGCACTATGCACAACAAAACCTGTGCTCATTAAATGTGTGCCAAATAACTAAATCAACAAACCTCCTCCATCAAAGAGAAACTACAGGAGTTTTAAAAAGGTATTCTATTAGGACATTTCAATTTCCACTGAGAACTCCTAAACAAACATGGTTTAAGTTATAAACTAAAAATAGAACTCCAAGGCTAAATATATATTATTAAATGAGAACTTTTTAAAGGGAACATTAACTCCCAAAAGTGAAATGTCTAAAAATATGTTTCACGGCATAGTGGGGCACACCTGCAATACCAGCACTACAGAGGCTGAGGCAGGAGTATCACTGCAGTTTACGGCCAGCCTGAACTACACAGCGAGACTGTATCAGAAAATAAATAAAAAAGAATGTTTCCAGTCCATCAAGTGATGAACAGATAGACAAAATGTAACATATCCATATAATAGACTATTACTGAGCCATAAAGATCAATGGACAACTAATACCTGCCACAATGTAACCTGTGAAAGAAGCCATAGGGAAAGGCTGCAGCATTCACCACTCAGTTCCATCACTGAACTGGGCCCGTGCCAAACCTTCATGCCACACACTCCCAGTCCTGGTGACTGACATTTTATAGCTGTACAACATTTAGAATGCAGAATACCACTGAATTGTTCTCTTTAATGCTGCTGATTTTGATATCTACATTTTATCTGAATATACATATGTAATTTTGAAACACCTTGCTTCTTACCAGGCCCCTGTGTTGTTTTCTTCTCTTCCACCCAGTTGTAGTAGGCAGAGTAGTCCCCGTTGTTTGGTAGGCTTATCCAGGGCCCCGTGATGCTGATGCTGGTGTCACCATTATGATCATCCCAGACCCACCGTCCTGAGAGGTATGTCGTCCTCCTGGCTTCCGCAAGCTTGCTCACAGTGCTGGAGGTCATGGCGCTGTCACTCTCTGCAGACCCATCTGCAGGATCTCTAAAAGTAAGAAACATTCCTGTTTTAGCGACACACTTTATTTTTGTATTTTGCAATACTGGGTCCTGAAGCCAAAGTCTTCCTACTGAGCTCCATCTCAGCCCTTACTCACTTTCATTTTGAGATGTGGTCTCACTAAGTCGTAAATTCCCCAAGCTGGTCTTGAATGTTTGATATCCTGCCTGAGCTTCCCATAGTGCTCAGATTGTACTCATTACCAGGACACCCCAAACAGCGTTATTAAGAGCAAGAATTATACTTGTCATACATGGCAAAGCAATGTGAAGCTGCTCTTGAGCACAACAAATTAACTGAAATACAGAGACAATTTTTACCAAAGAGGAAGCACAGACTGGCTACAGCAGGAAGCCCGCATGAATGTGAAGAAGGGGACAAAGTGAGTGGGCCCCGAGGCAGCTGCATCTTAAATTATTCAGTTTCCATATCCTTCTCAATGCTTAGAATATTTCAGGATCCCACGTGAAGCTTGCTTGTACTGTTAAACCATTTGCTATATCAGAAATTAAAACTGACAAAAACTGAATTCACTAAAAAATAGCAGTGAATAACACATTAATGCATATTTCTATCAAAAAAAACTCTTACTTTTCATAGGATGAAATTAAGCTCTATCCGTTTCCTTTCAAATAAAAATAGTGTCCCCTAAGAACAGCAGCAAATTCAGCTCGCATCTCAGGGCTGTCTGTGATCACCACGTTTCGGTGTATGCTGAGAGTGCTTCCTGCTGCTCCCCTCATCCCAATGCATCTAGATGCATACTCTGGGTCCAAATTTGTAACAGGAAGCTGAGTATGGTGGAGCACACCTGTAATTTCAGCATTCCAGGAGGCAGAGGAAGGAGGATTGCCATGAGTTTGGGCAAGCCTGGGCTACAGAGTGCGTTCAAGGCCAGCCTGAACTACAAAGCAAGACCCTGTCTGAAAAAAACAAAAAACTGAGGAGTGACTGATTTTTACTGTTTCTTCAGGGAAATTCTTAAGTGAAAGTAGCCTTTTTTGGGGAGAGAGGGACTGCAAACATGTAATCATCCATAATGACAATTACTGCAGCTTGTTGTTCCTGCCTCAAACTATGTCATACTCACATATGCCAGGTTGTCTCTGCCAGGGCTTGTGAGCCACCAATGCACTCATCAGCACAGTGAAAAAGAAAACACATCAATACTATTATCAAGACTCTAAATAGTCTCCAAGGCCTGCTGCCCAAAAGTAGAACAGAAATCCAGTATGAAGAGCTGTCAAAGGTACCAGTGCACTGCGGGGAAAGAACATGGTTGGTGCGTCAGATGCACAAGGAGACAGGAGATGTGTTGAGAACTGGCAGCAGGTGAGCGGCACAGTGAAGGCTTCTGGGTCTGTGCTTCCTCCCTGCAGCAAGTGGGTCTTCGCGTTTTTCTCTCTCCACCAAGATGCAGTAACTGAATGTGCCCTGGCTGCCAGAGGTGAGACTGAGCACTGTGGGTAACCCTGGGCAGTACTGTCACCTTTCTTCTACTCAAGAAAGTTTAGAGGAATGCAAATGAACAGGTAATCTAATTATAATGCTAATTTTGAAAGCAATGACTTTTAATAATAATTATAAACCACAGCAGGGGCAGTTATCTCATTTTCTTTTCCAATACGAACATACTAGATGATCATATCTCACTTAGAGGGGATTCATTCTGAGAAATGCATCTTTATGCGAGTTTATCACTGTGCAAACATCACAGAAGGTACACACACAAACTACAATAGGCAGGACATCACTAGGCAACCATCTCACAGAAGCACCTTTGTGTCTGTGGTCCAATGCTGACTGAAAAGTTGTATGGCATATGACTATGTATATATGTGTTTTATTTTGGAAAAGATGTCAGCCCTACAGAAAAATTACATAAATTTTAAAGTTTTCCTACGTTTACTTCACCAAACTTCTTCCAATTATCAACACAGAAAAATACAAAGATCAAAATAATGTAATTAACACTGCTATGATACAATTAATTCCTCTACAGAACCTCTTTGACTATGTGGCTTCTATCATCCTACTGACATCTTTCTGTGGCTCCAGAATCCAAGCAAAGATCACACAACACACTCAGTTGTTGGCCTCCTAAATCTGGAACAGCACTTTTTTCTTTCTCTGCTATAACGTATTTTAATATTGCTACTAGTGACTTACCAGAATTAAATTTGGCATGTTTCTGTTTTATCACCTTTACCCTCTAAAAGGCCTGGCCAGCTGTCTTTATACTAATTTTTGAATAATCTAACTTTTCTCCATTCATCCAAAATGTCCCTTTAGAACTTTCTATTCTGTCCTTTTTGTTTTTATATTTGCTAATTCTTACTAATGACAACTACTTAGCAAAAGTCAGTAGATTTTCAAAGTGGAAACAGAAAATCAGGACATTGGTTTTTAGGCAGCCAATTATGGAAAGAGACAAAAAGCCAGACTGAAGTAAAAGCAAGAAAGAATAGTTTCAAGCCTAGTAGGAGTCCACCATCAGATACAGCCCAAGGGCTGGAAAGGAGAAAGCCAGGAGAGACCAAACTCTCCAGACTCCAACAGCTTGGTAGTTATGAGAACACAAAAACCTTTGGTGGTGATTTATAAATCTGCTGACCAACAACAGCACCAACAGAGTATTATAAGCTGGGCGTGGTGGCATATGCCTGTCACCCCAAAACTCTGAGAGGCTCAGGGAAGACGATCCAAATTCAGGGCCAGCCTTAGTAAATTCATGACTTAGCAAAACTGTCTCTAAATAAAAAAGGGCAGCAGCTGTAGCTCAGTGTGAAGGCCCTCAGTTTAATCCCCAGGTATATGTGGTCAGGACAGTAGTGGACAGGAGATGGTGTCAGTCTCAACAGCAGCAATCAGTGCCATTTACCAGGAAAAGGCTAAGACAGCATATGGTGCCCACAAATTGCCAGGTCCCAAACACTAGGTGTTTCTGCCATGTTAGCTCATGATTTCATAGTGAAGGAGGTAGTATTTTTCAATCCTCATTTAACAGGTGATAAAACAGACTGGGGTAAAAGAATGTGCCTTACAGTACACAACTAACAAACAGCCTGGCTGAGAATGGAACCTATGTAAGCCAACATTTGTTTGCAAATAAGTGTGACTATGTCACCTGGAAGCTCAGGGACAGAATACACTGGGACCCACCCCGTTGCTTATGCTGTGCAGCGTGCAGTTTGCTAAAATGTTAAGATTCAAGTTTCATAACCAGGAAAAGCAGTGACACCAGAGTAAGGCCTAGTAAATGTGTTAGTGACACATTCAAAAGCCTTTGGTATTGTACCTCGCAGCAGTCTTTACTTCCTCAATTGGGAAGATGACAGAGGTGAGCTCTAGTATGTGGGATCGCCGGAGGTCTGCAAGATGCTCGTAATGACTTCGCAAGTCAAGAGTTTTTTTTTCTACAAGGTCACCAAGCTTGCGATTGTGCCTCTGAATCTTCTCCTTTTTCTCTTGATGCCGTTGTGCTCGATTCTGAAGCTTCTGGTTCTTTTCCCTGGTTTTGAGAAGACCTTCCGAATCTAAGATACATAAATCACACTCAACAATTACCTCTGCAAAGTTTTAAGGGTAGTGCAGAGCCATACCCCACAAACTTTACATGTTTCCCCTGCAATTTAACCTGAAAAGCAGAACCTCAGTAGAACCCACTACTGTTCACAGCATAGAAACCCAAGAATTCAGTTCAAGGAGATGTTACACACGAAGCAGACATCACTGCCAACGTAAGCATGGATCTCCATTTGTAATTATCATTACTGCAATGAGCCATTCAGTGACGACCAGGTTCATCATTAGCATAGGAAGTATCTGACTTTCACCCATGCATGAACAGTCATGTCAGGCAGAACTCCAGAACTCCGGTTTGAAAAACTGGTGATCTGATGTCCTGAGAAACCTCTCAGATGTGCCTTCAGGGGACCGTACCACATGAGGAGAACAGACAACAAAACAGCCAAGAGCTCTGAAGTCAGAGCAGTGTAGCAGAACGTGTACAGCTGTTCTAACACAGACACATGACATGCTGCAAGGAAAACAGAAGCCCACCCACACAATATAAAGAATATATATGCATGCACTCTGACAGATTAAGGTCCCATGGGGGGAGGAGCTCTTTCAGGTTCTGGATCCTAAGACCTGCAAGGGTCACTGGGCTGAAGCAACACTTCACTAGAGTGACACACTCTCAGGGAGAAACCCAGGAAGCACACATTCAAACTCCAAAATTCATTGCTTTTCCAGAAAAACTTTCAAATGGCACATTATAAGCCAGCTTCCCACCTCACCCTTATTTCTGAGCTGTTTACTTTTCACTAGCTGCCCTCTGAAATCTTTCCGCCAAGGCCTTTTTTTTACATTCCTACTATCAACACTCTAGTCACTGCTCACTGTGCTCCAAGTCTTCAACTTGGTCCAACTCCTGGCACTCAGGGGCCTCTTCCACTTGAGAGCCAACACACTCAGCTGTTCTCAGATAGAGGTCACCCCCAAGCTGCTGCATGCTAAGTTACTCCTCACAAGATGGAGCCGCTGAGAAGAACAAACACTGAAGTCGTGAGTTCAGTCCCCAATACAAAAATAAAATAAGTACAAGGCAACAGGTGTAGCTGGCGGCAGGGCACTTGCCTAGCATGTGTTAGGTCTGTGTTCAATCCTAAGCATAACCCACACAAACAAGTGCAGAAGTTCAGAATAAGCATGCACCAAAAAAAAAAAAAAAAAAAAGCTTAAAAAAAAGAGCAAATCAACTTATAAGGGCTGGGCATTTAGCTCAGCGGCACAAGCGCCTGTTTGGGAAGCATGAGGTCGTCAATTCTCTGTACCACTCCTCCAAAAAAAAGCTTTAAAAAAAGAATAAATCAGAATAAGCATGCAGAAACCTTTTCCCTAAACATGGCAAGAGAACATGGCTATCTATGAGTCAAATTGTGATAATTCATATTAGTCTAGGGTTGAGCCCAGGATTTTGTAGACCACAAAATGGTCACCATGTGACTGATGATCTGCTAGGGATAGAAATCTGTTACACAATCTGCTGCCTTAAGGCTATTTCTGTAAAAACATGGTCCAGGGCAGGTGGCACAGGACTATAATCCTAGCATTCAGGAAGCTGAGGCATGAGGATCACTGTGAGCACAAGGCCAAACTGGAGTACATAGTGAGATCCTACCTCAAAAAATCAAATCACAGGAGGGTAGAAAGAGATGGAGAGACGTGGGGTGAGTAGGACTGACCAAGTTGGCAAGTTGCCCAGGCTGAACTTAAACTTGTAATTCTCCTGTCTCAGCCTCCTAAAGTGCTGAGATTATAGATGTAAAACACCTCGTAGCAGGATCCATGTTTTTTATGTGGTTGGAATTTTTGCTTTAGGGGTTAGAAAGCTGTAAAAAAGAACTGATTGAAGTTTTAAACTTGTTCATCAGAGGTATGGGCATGCTTAGTATATTCTACACATTGACATTTCATAGATGCTTGGGGACAAAGCTTGGTCTGAACATCAAGGGTGGAAAGGGAAGGAGGATGAAACCAACATTAATTAGCAAGGTCCCATCCTGCTACTCTACCCAAGTCTATCGAGAAGGCAAGCAGAGCACAGCAACTATGGGATGCCTGCAGCTCTTCTGAGTGCCTGTGTACCATGCTGCCCTGCTTTGCTAGCTTTTCATCCAGAGCAGCTCTACTGAGAGGACTTCCTAAGCACAAACACTGTCAATGGAAGATCTGAATAACATTCCATCGCATCTGAAGATAGGAAAGGGATTCATGAGGCACAAAAGTGGCTCATCTGAAACCTTAACACTATCTTCTGAAATACATGCTATATTCCTAGATGTAAGATTTCTAAGACCACTCAAATTTTGACAGACACTTACGATACAGTATTAAGTGTTCAAGTGTAATACAAAATCAGTATAGGTTAAAACATGTAGGTTAAAACATTCAATCAAGGGAAAAGCTAGTATTCTGTGCTCCTGCCATAAACTGGTGATTATTTTGAGTTTACCACTTTAGACTCTGCACTTCCTGTTAGTTAAGGCAAAGGAGAGGAAATATTTAACCGTTTTGTTTGGTCATGCTGCAGATCAGACAAAAGGCTTCGCTCACACAAAGCATGAGCTCTATCACTGAGCTTGTCCCCAGCCCTTCCTTAATGTTTTGAAAAAGGCAGTAGATTACTGAAGGCATCTATAACCTTATGTTGATACCAATTCTTTATATAAATGTTTTCAAGTAGAAAGAAAAGTTGACCATCACTGATAAGAAAATATGAAATCCAAAATAGCCCAAAATCCAAATTTCTGAGTGCCAAATTCATGTCTTAAGTTCACTTGACTTCATGTAAGAGGGCACAAAGCACAGATACGCTGAAAATATTATGTACAATGACCTCCAGACTATGCAATGAAAACAAAATGCATATAAAACAAAATTAATTTTTAGACATTTAGACAAAACGTTTTTAGACATGACTCCTATATTTCATTACTATATTTGCAAATATCCACAGACCCCCAAAAATTTGAAACCTATTACACTCCAGCTCCAGGCATTTCCAATAAAGGGTACTCAGCTTGTCATATCCCTTTCCAAGTTACTTTCCCAATCTTCTTCTCTTCAAGTGGCCTCTAGTGCAATCACGCCCAGGAACTTCCACAGGAACCCTTCATTAGGGCCACAGCAAGCGAGTCAAATTACTTACTTTTCTTCATTTCTTCATTTCCTTTACATATTGTTTGTTTCAGTTGTTCAATCCTCATCTTGCAAGACATTATTTTCCATCTCTGAAAAGAAGCATGCAAAAAATAATGGGTGTTAGTCCCCTATGACTGATATTATTATCTACCTGGAATCACTATCTAGTTTCACACATCCTAGAAAACATAGTAAAGAAAAGACCACCATAATTATATTAGTTACAGCTTTTGTAACTATGGTAGATTATAAAACAGAAAACATTTTTATGGATTACTGCAAATACTGCTAGAAAATTTAGAGACATACACATAGTTCTGATGTGTCAAAGAGCACACAGAAAAATGTCAAGGTACATTTTCTCAATCTGTTGTTCTGTACATAGCTAGCTAGTAGTCATATTTGACTACTTTGAATTCAATTAAAATTCCATTAAGTAACTCAGGTCTTTCCTCACATTGTCCATACAACAAATGGTCAACACCACCAGATTCTAACGACTACCATTCTAGACAATGTCCGTACAGAATACCTGTAACTGTCACAAGTCTTACTGGTGTTCTGCTCTAAAGTTTTAGTGCTGAGTTACAAAGAAAATTATTAACATCACTGTATTACCTCATACTGAAGTAAATGTTGCCTGCATATTAACAAAATGTACAACAAATTTTTTCCAAAACTACATAATGCACTGACTCTCTAGCAGCTGTGGTGGTGCACACCTGTGATCCTAGCACTTGGAAGGCTGAGCAAGAAGACTGCCATGAGTTTGAGGCTAGCCTGGGCTATCTAAGCAAGTTCAAGGCCAGCCTGCACTATAGTGAGACCTTGCCTTAAAAAAACAAAACAAACTCTCAAATGCCTCAGAAAATTATATGAAACATGAAATTGCCTCTTTATATTACCAAGCATGGTACAGCCAGTACACCTATCTTTAAACAAAAGATCAATAAAAATAGGGATACATTATTAAAAAGTATGACTATTCTCTAGTGTTCCATACATGTGGATGCTTAAAACAATATAAAAATATTTACAGCATTAATACTTATCTAAAAAGTTTAATAGTGCAAGACAGAGCAGATTGCAGAGATGTGACAGTGAAGAAAGGCCAAAGACTTAGAGGAAAATGTATGCACAAAGGAATTAGAAATGAGGCATCTTTATATTTTTTATTTGTTTGTTTGTTGGTTTTTCCCCTTTTTGAGACAGGTCTCAGTTCAGGCTTGCCTTGAGCTCACTTTGTAGCCCAGGCTGGTCTCAAACTCTCAGTGATCTGCCTGCTTCAGCCTCAGAAGTGTTGGGATTACACGTGTGTGCCACCATGTCTGGTTCTTCACTCTTAAAAGGCAGTGGTCTTTGAAATTTTGTTTTGTTTTGTTTTGGGTTTTTTTGGTACCAGGGATTGAACTCACTCACAACCTTGTGCTTGTCAGGCAGGCACTTATGCCACTGAGCTAAACCCCCAGCCTGAAGTTTTTGATAGAAAAATTAGAGATTAGAGACTTTAGAAAAAATTTTCCACAGAACACATTTTGCTGATAACCTTTGAAGTTCTATCATAAATATTAAGTGCAATAAAACTATGCATGCTAAATGCGGGAAAAAGTAAAAATTGCAGAAGAAAAAAAAGGAAATTGACTATTAGCTTGACTCCTTCCCATTCCTCAGGGTTTTGTGTGCGTGCATGCGTGTGTGCATGCGTGTGTGTATGTGTGTAGTGTGTGTTCTGTGTATCTGTCGCACATGTATGCTACTGGAAACCAAATCCAAAGCCTTATAATGCTAAGTACACAGTTCTCCACTGAGCTGTACCCCTCCACCCCAAAGGTAATGTCCTAAAATTAAAGTTTGACATAAGCCTTTTCAGATTTTATAGAGTATATTTATATTTAAAATACAAAAATGGAATCATACTTTTATTTTTAAATTAAAATGTAACTTGGACATACTTCCCAATGCATGCAGACTGATATTTTAAAATTTTTAATACATTTTAATTATATGTTAATTGCATACATTTACAGGGTTCAGTGTGATATCTCAACATATGAAGACAAAGACTGTTCTTTTTAACACAAAACCACAGCTGTTCATCTCCTCCTGACCAATGGACATTCAGCTTCCTCATAAACCTCTGCATTCTCAAGCATTTTCTCAGGAGAAAACCTTTGGGTGAACTACATGTATTTTTTAAAGCAACCACCACAAAAATGAACAACTTTAGCCATTACCTCCAAATTGTCTCCAAAGCAAAGGAGTTGATGGAAATTCCAACACGGAATAAAAGTGTTGTCAACCAAACTAGTTATTCTCCTACATTACATTCATTTTCTCACTGTTAATTTTCTTTAGGATTTGTAATATACAGAACTTTTTAAATTTTCTGTCATCTGCCCAAGTGCTTTCCTCTGTGGCTTATGAAGGTCATCCCTAAGATTCCATAAAAACTCTTGTGCCAGGCATTTAGCTCAGGGCTAGGGATTTAGCTCCGCGGCATAAACACCTGCCTTGCAAGTGTGCTGTCATGAATTTGAATCCTGACACCAAAAAACAAACAAACAAAAAAACTCTCCAATATTTTAATTTAATATTCTTATGTGGGGTAGGGAGGGGAAAGGAAGGGGACATAAAAAGCAGATGTGAGATGTACCACCACACTTGGTTTTCAAATTTAAATTTAAATTCAAATGACTAAACTCTACCAACTTTAAAACATGTGGCACCAAATATAAAGAAAATAACAATAAATACTTGTTAGAACTTACCAGTTGATCTGTTATCCATTTTCCTTCCATAGCTCTTAAAACTCTGGAGGGAAAGTACATAGACAATAAGCTCTTAAAACTAATAAAATTTTGTGAAACTCAAAAACCAAAATCAACTTTATAGAGTAAGGGCTTAGAAGTAGCTGGCCAAGGGACCTGCCATGGCAAGTGTTTCAGCAGGGCCTCGCCCTCTGCAGTTCCTCACTTCCTTCCCTGTGCAGTGCTGATGCTGCCAGTGCACCGACACACATATCCACAATGAACTACCACTGACGCCAGCCTCGTTCTCAAAACGCCCTCAGCCACAGCTCCTAACGCCACCTACGTGAGAGCTCAAAGTCTGAAACAGCGTGGTTAGCATCCAAGACATGGGACAGAGTGGCACCTTTGAAAATGTATCCTATGAACGTCGAACATTTGATGGAATAAAGTACTCTATGGGGAGAAAATTTGTGGGATTGAATCATCTAGAGAAACAGCTGAGTTAAATAAACTCAAGTTTCTCTAAACCAGAATTTCAGGAGAACTAATCTGCTCATGAACATGTCTACCAGATATGGCAAACTCTTTAAACTTCAGAGCCCACTTTAGGATTCCCTGGCAAAGACACTAACTGCTCACACCAGCACCAGACAGTTGAAGAAGTGCTGAGGCAGGTGCTCTATGCACCAAGGCCCAAAGAGGCGAATTCCCAGTCTATAGAGATCCCAATCCTGTCCTCATCACAGTCTGGGAAGTTTGTATTTGTAACCCCATGAAAACATTATTCAAATTCTAGCAAGTTAATTACAATTCACCCCTTCCAGTGCAATTCATGGTGAGAATAACCAACTAAGACATATTTACAGTTATGAGGAGCCAAAAAGTCCTGAATCTGGCCCAGATAAAGGTTCAACAAAAAAGGGCCTCAACTCAGGCCTAACCCAGATTTTATTGATTTGTGAAGGGAGTGCCTTGAGGATGAGTAACTGTGAGATGGGGGCAATTATGTGAGTACTGTGAGTTGGGCTATGTAGGAGGCCTGAAAGCACCTCTGCAATATGCAGACAGAAGGATATGCAGAAAAACCAATCTGCATAATGTAATTGTAATTTAATGTTTAGTGGGTGGCTACTTCAGCTCTGATGTGCAAACTTTTCTGCCCTAGGAAGTTTTAGCCTCTTATCTCAAGGTTCAAACCCAGTGAATAGCTTTGGATTTGGCTCTACACTCCACCCGGCTCAGTCACGTTTTGGGAATTACGGGATGGGAAAACAGAAACTATGGCCTAGCTTCAAAGGTTAGGCATCAGCACCTCAGCCAGCGCTATTTTCACTGCTCAGAGCCAACTAAAGAGAAAAATGAAATAACTTAGTCAGCTCTGTACATATCAGTACACACAGACAGGGCCAGCTACGTGAGAGCTGGCAAAATTTAGATTTAGCCAGAATGGAGGTAACTGCTCTTTGTTCAAGGAGAGTCATCCAGGTGGTCCTTCGTACCCATCTTTCTGCAGAGAATTCTGCAGGACAATTCGCAAACCTACAGGCCAATTCATCAGGTACTCATTAACAACTCAGATTCCCAAGTCTCAGCCCTAATGCACCCCTGTGCATTAGGAAGAACTGTAAGACACTCCACTTTGAGCATTACTTCAGTTAGTGGATTTCGATACAGGTATCTGCAAACCATGTTTTGCAAACCCTGATACAGAAGGGGAAAGCAAAATCAAAGCAGGAAGGTCTTGTTGCAGCCACTAGCATTAATTTCAGTCTAATCAAGCCCACTATTGTGGGTCCATTTGCCAAGCACTGCCCAGGGCCAGCAGTCCTGATTACCCTCAAGTGTACACTTGTCTACGAGGTGCCAGGTCTGAGGCCAATGTTTTCTGAAACTTGTTACTCTCTCCATGGCACCTCCCAGATTCACTCCTTTCCCACACTCAGCAAGACTGCAGTTAAGCTCAGTAAGCCACCAACCCATATGCACAGTGGTAGCTCGGTTCCTGAACTTAATTCATCTCAAAATCAAATTTCCCCATAAGGTTCAATGTCAAGCAATGTACAATTCTTCAACAGAAGCAATTTTTTGTGAACATGCTCATGAAAAGAAAGCATTCCAGAACCTTGGTATGCCTATTTATATACTATTACAATAAATTAAACCAAGTCATGACAGCCTCCACAAATTAAAAAGCAAAAACTCACTCTTTTTGAAATTCTTCTTGCTTTCTCTTAAGTAGGCTTAACCTTTCCTTCTTGTCAATAAACCTGTAAGAAAGTAATTCAGTATTTTATTTAGATGTTCGTTTTTCTTAGTCCCATAAGATTACACAAGTTCCTAAGAGCTGACCACACCTCACCATCCTGAAGTAAACACACGTCTTTTCAATGAGATGCACATAGCTGCTTACCACTGAATATTTTAAAACTAAATTCCAATCTTCACCTTTAAAAGCCTTTCCTCGGCTTTGAAAATGTTTGTACATTCTCCCCAACCATAGGTTAAAAGCATGCACATCAGAACACTGAAATGACTTTGAATTCAAGATAACTGAAGCTTCTGTTACAAAAATAACTTTAGTACCAGGCAAGGTGGCCCATTAATCGCAGCACTCAGGGCGCTGACACAAGAGGATTGCTATGAGTTCAAGATCAGCCTGGAGTACACAGTGAGTTCAAGGCAAACCTGAGCTACACAGCAAGACCCTGTCTCAAAAAATAGTAATAATAACTTTAATTACTAAACTTCATTTAATCCTGTCCTCTCCTATAAACTGAGTCCTCGAAATTTTTAAAGTAGTATGTTTTTTCACTGTAAGCTAACAAGTTACTCAATAAAAGGTTTTGAAAGGAAGAAGCATAAGAGTGCTGTTAATTTTCTCTGTTTACTATTTTTCTACCCTTCCAACTTCATCCGTATTTTCTTCCTGCTACTTTATTTTGGGTTTAATTTGCTTTGATTTCAGTTTAACGTGGGGCAATCCTACATTATTGATTTTAATCCTTTTTTTAAGTTTAATTTACTTAAACTAATACCAAGAAACCCTAAAACTTATTTGTATTAATGGGACACTATTCCATATAAATATGCCTTGTACAATGCTTAAATCAGATTAACCACACCTCCTCAAACATCTATCATTTCTTTATAGTACAGCATTCAGGGTCCTTCACCACACATTAATGTTGCCCACAGTCGCCCTGCTGAGCAACAACTGCAGGGTGACTGACCATCTTGGCCTGACCGCATGCAGGACCCACCCACTGGCCTTTCCCCTCCCTCCCTGGCTTCAGACAACCACCATGCCCTCCTACACTTTCCTGTCATCTCTCGTTTTTAAAGATTTCTCATGTAAGAGAAAACATGCAACATTTTACTTTTTGAGTCTGGCTTATTTTGCTTGTCTCTATCTAGCTCCACCCATTTTCCTGTAAATGACAGGGCTTTGTTCTTCATGGCTAACATGCAAGAGCATATGTAGCACATTTTCTTTGTCCGCTCATCTGCTGCAGGGCATCCAGAGCTTAGCTACTGTAACCTGCATAGCAAGATGTGGATTTGCAGGTGTCCCTACAGTATGCTGCTTTGTTTTGGGATGTACTGACAAGTGGTACCAGTTGAATTAAGTGGGTTTTTTTTTAGGCAATCTTTGTTCCAATTTCTATAGCAGTTGCAGTAGTTTACATCCCCACCAACAATGTAGAAGGGTTCTTCTCCCCTACAGTCTCAAGAATATTTACATATGTATGAATGTTTTGTTTGAGTTGTGGGTTTTTCTCCTCCTACCCTGGTAAGGAGTTTTTTGAGAGTTTCATTCTGTAATTCAGGCTGGGCTTGAACTACATAGCCTCAAACTCACGGGGATCCACCTGCCTCAGCCTAGCAAGTGTTGGGATTACAGGTGTGCTCCACCATACCTAGCTCAGAATGTATAGCCAATCTGACTGGGGTGACACAGAATCTCAATGTAGTTTTTATTACATCTCCCTAATGGCTAAAGATGTTAAACATTTTTTTCATATAAGCATAAGCCATCTGTACTTCTGTTGAGACTTTTCTTTGATTTGCTGGCTGGGTATTTTTTATATTTGTGTGCATGTATATGTGTGTCTTGGTGACTTTTTTCTCATTGTTGAGACAAAATACCAGACGCCCAAAATGAAGGAAGGAAAGGTTTATTTATCTTACAGTTTTTGGTTTCAGTACCTACTCTACTAACTTCAAAGCAGGGTGGTGTGGCACAGGGGCAGCCGTTCATGGTAGCCACAAGTAACAACAGTGGAGGGCAAAACGAGGCTAGGCATGCCTCCTTCCCTCCCTTACACTGTATGTTGGCTCCCCGCCCCTGGGTTAGCAACGCACTCACACCGCCAATCCCTGCGCTGGACAACAAACCAATTATGAACTCTAGACTCAGCTGCCTCCATGACTCCATGAGGCTTTGGGGGAACATTTAAACAAACCATGACAATGTGTACTAAATTTTTTGAATCCTTTATGTATTTTTCAATATTAATCTTCTATTTTAAAAAACTAGCTTGCAAAGATAGGCTCCTACTTTGTAGGTTCTCTCCTCTGTTGATTATTTCCTCTGTTGTGCAGAAGCTTTTTTATTCGATAGAGATCCATTTATTAATTCTCGTTCTTAAGCCTAGAATAATAAAGGCAATTCTGAGCAACAAAGGCAAGGAAGGAGGCATTTCAATTCCTGACTTGAAACTATCCTACAAAGCCACAGTGACAAAATCAGCATGGTACTGGCAAAGAAATAGACCTGATGAGCAATGGAACAGATTAGAAGGTGCAAACACAACTACAAAGATACTCAGCCACCTAATATTTGACAAAAGGGCTAAACATGTTCACTGGATGAAGGACAGCCTCTTTAATAAATGGTGTTGGAAAAACTGGCTGAGTCAATGACAGTTTTTGTCATTGTCAATGACTGAAACTAGATGCATGCCTATCACCAGGCACAAAACTAAAGTCTAATGGATCAAAGATCTAAATATTGTAACAGAAACACTAAATCTACTGGAAGACAAGGTAGCTAGATGTCTTGGAGACATAGGGGTAGGCAGAGAATTCATGAACAAAACAAAAAATGCACGGGAAACACTGGGATCTCATGTTATTGAAAAGTTTCTGAACTTCAAAAGAAATCACCAACACAGTGAAAAGAAAACCCACAGAATGGGAAAGAATTAAAGCCAGCAACCCCTCAGACAAAGGACTTATATCCAGAACATATAAAGAATTAAAAAACATCAAGCCCCCCAAATTCAAAGACCTTCTCCAAAAATGGTCATCTGAGATGAGCACACGGTTCTCAGATGAAGATATACAAATGGCAAATAAATACACGAAGAAATGTTCACCATCACTGGTCATTCGAGAAATGCAAATTAAGATAGCATTGAGATTTCATCTCACTCCAGAAAGAATGGCTGCCATCAAGAACTCAACTTATGACAAATGTTGGCAAGGCTGCGGGAGGAAAAAGGAGCACAGCTCCACTGTTGGTGGGGGTATAGACTGGTGCAACCATTATGGAAATCAGTATGGAGAATTCTCAAAAGACTAGGATTAGAAGTTCCATTCAACCCAGCTATTCCTCTCCTGGGTATTTTCTCAGAAAAACTGAAAAGGTCATATCACAGTGATATATGTGCACCCATGTTCATAGCGGTACAATTTGTAATAGCTAAATCTTGGAAACAAGCAAGATGCCCATCAACCACAGAGTAGATGAAAAAGATGTGTTATTTATACAATGGAATATTACTCAGCTATAAAAAAGATGATCTTGGGGCATTCATAGGCAAATGAAGACAATTTGAGGTTATCTTCAATAGTGAAATAAATAAGAATCATATTTATAAATATCACACTGTGTCTCTAATGTAAAAAGTAGTAAGAAATGCAGAAATAATAAAATCCAAAATGTGTAATTGCTATTGTAAAAAAGAGGAAAAGGAAGTGCTCTAAAGGATGTAACTGCATGTATGTTTAAGTGTACAGGATTGATAACCATATTACTTTTTGTTAGATATTTGAACAGAACTGTTTGCAGTGTTGCTGTTTGAATGTCTACTTTGTATGCTTTACTTTTGTAACTTGAACAACTATTTCTAAGAGGACAATATGTAATTATTAACTAGTGATTTCTTACTGTTTAATTTTTTGAAATTATGTATTATGTCTACCCTTTTTCCATTTTTTTTCTTTAAATAAAAAAAATTCTTATTATTTCCTCTGCTGTTTAAATCCTATTCTGGAAGTCTTTTCCTGTGCTATGATTCTAAATCCTTTTTTTGGAGACAGAATCTCACTAATTTGCCCAGGTGGCCTTCAAATTGCAATTGTCCTGCCTCAGACACTCAAATAACTGAGATTACAAGCATGTACTACTTCACCCAGACTAAATGTTACGATGGGGCAGAGCAGGAAGTATGATTAACATCCTGGAACTGATTAGACACTCAGCTCACTATTTTCCTGGGGACAAGAATAAAGACCCAGGACCATGATATCATTTTTTGGCTGTCTCTTATGAATTCCTAACATAAATGAAAACAATTTTTAAAAAACTGTCAGTCTTGGGGCTGGGGATTTAGCTCAACAGCATAAGTGCCTGCCTTGCAAGCGTGCAGTCTTAAGTTCAATTCCTGGTACCAAAAAAAAAAAAAAAAAAAAAAAAAAAAAAACCTGTCAGTCTTAATTTATATGTAATTCTTCCATAATGCAACATAATTAATTATTGGTCAACTAGAAACTATGCTTGAAGGCCAGGTGTGGTGGTACACACCTGTAATCCCAGCACTAGGGAGACTGAGGCAGAAGGATCACTATAAATTTGAGGTCAGCCTGGGCTACAAAGTGAGTTCAAGGATAGCCTGAACTGCATAGTGAAACTCTTTTTCAAAAAGATATGGACAGATAGGTAGATAAATTTAAAAAATTAAAGCAGGATGCCTGTAATCCCAGCACTTCTGATGCTGAGGCAGGAGCATCAGTGAAAGTTCAAGACCAGCTGCACTACAAAATGAGCTCAAGGCCAGCCTGAAATGCATAGCAAGACCCTGTCTCAAAAAGACAAAAACATAAATAAATTAAATAAAATAATTTAAAAATTTGAAAACCATTTAACAGAACTACCATGGCCTAAAATTACTCTGGACAAAATCATCTAAAGTACTATACTTCTTTAACCCTCAGATTTGAAACATACTAAATATACCTAGTTATAAATAGGAAAGATAAATAA